GCGTTCGTGCAGGCCAAGGACGTTTGGAACTCTCGTGATGGAAGCTAGTTGGAGCGGAACTTGTAAGAGTATTGCCAAAGAACAGTTGCCTCCAAAGCCAAGCTTCTTCACTAGTACAGCGTGCATAGAAATACGTCAGTTCGATTCAAAACATTGGAACTTGGCACTTTCCTGGCCGTGATATTAGCCAGTCGGACGAGCATAGCCAGAGGACGAGTTTATCTACGAAACTAGCAAGAGACAGTTTCCTCTGAAAGTCAGATACGATCCAGAATATTGGAACTCGTATCCTGCAGGTTTCGTCGAATCTGAGGATCTCCTCAAAAGTTCACATCTTCATTGATGCACGCAGGACACGGCTGTGCGAAGCAGACGTCAGTCTGGACTTTGCAGTCTGCTGGACTGCTGAGGCTCAATTAACCAACGAAATAGTCTCAACTAATCAACAGAGAGTTCATCGTCGAATGAAGAATAATAGTAAATTCCCTTGTAACTAGGAAGATAATATCGAAGTGGAATTTATCACAACGTGATTCAGACAAGAAGTTAAATAAACATAAAGTCTCATTACTAGTACGAACTAGCCACGAGTCTGAACATCTTCATTCGAAATTTCGTCAAAGTTTCTGACGAACCACGCGCTTACCTGTGACTGTACTGCAGATGAGAGTACTGGACGGGCATGTTGCCGGTTCTGGTGTCCCAATTGCAGACTTGGCCCGTCATAAGACCACTGGCAAGGACGGAAGGATCCCGGGGATTAAATTCGCAGCAGACGCACGGCGAGGAGGGCTCCAGGCCCATGTAAGGCTTGTTCGGATTGTCTGCTCGTCAAACGGTACATAGGCGTTTCATAATCCGGATTATGCGAGAAAGAGAGAAACAAGAAAGAGAGTTCCTTTTCTTTTTTATCCCGAGTGATTTTCATCGTGTTCGTTTCAATAGGATCGTTGATGAAGCTGTGAGCCAACCGAGAGCCGGTTAGGTTTGAGTTGCGTTCACGCGTGACTCTTACGCGAGCTACGATCTTTCAGCTCGCCAACGCAAGACACGTATCATCGAGTATATTTTCTAACACGCGTCGAACTACTCTTTTTTATTCTCTCGAGAATACGCATGAAGGATGACGCGATTTGTCTTTCGTTACGAAATATCTTTGTACAGATAGATGAATCACTTCGAGGTCCTTGAAATTGAAACGAGAAGACACGGTCGTGGATCAAAGCACGAATAAAAAATTTACAATTTAAATAGAGAGAAATTGGACAAAATACTGGAAACGTCTCGCATAAAATTGTTATTTATGAGATGCTCGACTGAGTTTACCGACAAAACAAAATTAAACAAAAATTATCCGGATATCTCGCGGGACACGTCATCACTTATTGTTTGCAATGCAGTTTGTGTTCTATCGATGAATAATAAAACAGTGAGATGTATATTGACAAGTCTATTTTGTTCAGTTAGCTCGTCTTGAACTAACAGTATTTCCAGTATTTGTGAAAAAGTACTCTTTCACAGTTAATAGACATGACACATATGTGTTTTTCAGCAATCTTTCGGATATTTCTTTCTCGAGTTCTTCATCATTCTAGTGGACATAAATTATAATTTGTTTCATCAATTGTCACTCGAATTGCTCGAAAGATATCCGATGAAATTATATATCCAACGCGTTAGGTAGGTGGTAATAATTCTAACCTCAATTATCTCGTAAGATACTCGAGCACTTAGATACTCGAATTTTTCATGAGATCCCTCCAATAATTTTGCTCTACCCGAGTATCTCACAGAGAGAGCTCTAATGCGTATTTAATGCGCTGTTGCGACCCTTCATCTTTGAATTCACTCGCATTAAGGTTATGTTATGTCTTGAATCCAAGGAATAATTAAATCAGTTCCACCCAATAATACGATCATTATTTTGCGAAGGTAAAGTGAAATTTTTCGAGAGACGACAATGCTCCATACAGCCGCCATTGTAACCAAAACTTTGGTTTCAGGAACGTGGAAATGAAGTTAAGATCCCTAGGGACTTTTACTTTGAAGTCTAAACCAAACATTACACTCGACTTTTACCGCCGTGTCGACGTAGAATTTGACATTTTCGAACGATTCTCGGCTATTATTGCAGGTCTCACTCAGAGCTGCAATGATTTGCGATTTCCATTGCAGTTTGTAACGTCGAACGACGCTTGCTTAGACTTTAAAGCAAAAGTCCCTAGGGCCAGCGGCGTGGCAGTTAACGCGTTAAACATGTTCTCTGGCCGGCACAATCACCAAACTTGAATATCATTAAGCTACTACGGTCTATTCTATTCTCGAATGCGAAGTTGGAAGTAGATTACTACCAGCCTCGTTAAAACAGCTTGAGAAGCCCTCTCGTTGAATATCACTCGAGATTTGTATGAATCTATTCCATTCTCGAAAGGAGAATGGCCATATTAACAAAGAATATTCCAAACAAACGAGGTGTTTCTACTATTTTGTCCCTCTACTATGTTCAATCCCTCGACTGTAGTATGCAAACGGATGCAAAGCGATGGAAATGACGATGGACGCGATCTTGCCGATGCGGTGAAAATGGCGGTAGCCAG